GGGAACCGGTCTCCACATGGGATCCGAACCCTCGGCGGGAGCCCCGCCGCGCTCCCAAGCGGCGCACTCTCCAGTGCGCCACCGGGCCGGCCCGTGAAAATCTATTGTAATGGTACTTCTAGTCTTCAGACAAAATAGGTGTCTCCTTTTTAACGTTACTAAATTTTTATAAATGTTTAATGTTATTAAATTTATTAAATCCAAACACAGTGGACTGTGTTAGAATTGTATCCTATATACGGAGTTTACTTATGGAAATGGGACCACTGTTTTCCTATACATAGCAACTTGAGATTGAGAGTAACCGTAGAGACATAAAAAGGAAAACTCTTTTTACATAAAAAGGAAGCTGTCTGTTGACAGTTACACAACCAGCACCTAGCACAGTGCCTTACACAGTGATGTTAATAATTGTAGGTGATATTTTTTGACCTTCACTTTGTGCCAGGCACTGTGCATAGTATATCACACAGTCTAATTTAATCCTCAAACAACTCTGTTAAAGATGAGGAAACAATGGCACAGAGGAGGCTGTGTAAATTAGCGAGGATTACAGATGTTTTGAGTGGTCCATTTAAAATCCAAACCTGGGAATCTTTGGAACTCATATATACTGTACTGTATAATGGAAAATATTAAATATATGTATGAAATAATGAGTAAGGTGCCCGGCCTTTAACAGTTACAGATTAGTGAAGGCAATGGATATGCTAATTTTGGTCAGTAGTGGAGGTATTTATAGTGATAACACAGAACAAGAGGAATGCCCAGGCCTGCCTGCCGGAGGGTTAGGAAAGTTCCTGAGGAGGAAGGCTGCTTGAGTTTGTCATACCGACAAAAGAAAAGGAAGTGCGGGGCAGAGGAAACAGGAGGTGCAAAGGCATCAGGGTGCATACTGAAGGTGCAGTTTGAATGAAAGTGAAATAACTTGGCATGTTCAGGGAACTGCATGTAATCCTAATATTTGTGGAACATAAGGCTTGTGTGATAACCCTGAAGGAGATGATAGCTGGACAGAACAAAAAGTTGCATGCTGCATATAATCTGACAGAAAATATCAACATTTTAATTATACAAGTAGTTCCTCTGTGAGTCAGACATTACCACTCTTATACCTGTTTTTTTCCCGTTCTGGGCATATACAAGACTACTTCTAAGCCTCTTTGTGATTGGTTGGGGCCCCATGACCAATTTTGCCAGTAGGGTTTAGGTAAAAGTGCTATGCCACTTCTGAGCCAAAGTATGCGAGAGCTGGCACAGAGCCCTCTATGGTCTTTTCCTTTGCTACAGTGACTAAGGCAGCCTCATATTCCAGACAGTGCAGTTACAAGAGTTATCAGCCTCGTTCTTTTTTTTTTTTTTTTTTTTTTTTTTGTGACCGGTAAGGGGA